AATTTATAATGCCCATACTTAATTCTGAAAGCTGTTTTGGGAATGTCTTCTGTTCTGATCTTTACTTGATAGTAACCTGAATACAAGTCTTTGAGAAAACCTGTGCACCTTATAACTGATCGAAAAAGTCATTAATTCTAGGGATGAGGTACTTGTTCTTGATTGTAACTCTATTTAATTCCCTATAGTCAATATATAATCTCAACATCTCATCCCATTTCCTTGCAAACATGACTCCAACACTCCAAAGAGTTACACTGTGTTAGATGAACCCACTATTATACAATTCATTTATATGTTTCCTCAGCTCTTCCATCTCAACACGACTCATGCGGTAAATGGCAACTGAAATGGGCTGAGTGTCAGGCTGGAGATTTATGGTGAATTCAACTTCCCTATCCACTGGCAATCCTAGTAGTTCATCGGGAAATACTTTCGAAAATTCTCATATTACAAGGATCTCTTAAATGCAAACTTTTTTCTTAAGTTTATTTAATGCAAAAAAGATAACAGAGTTAAGATGCTATATAACAAAGAAATTTTCATGAGAAAATAATATTTAAAACTTTTATTCACTTGTAAATGACTCTTTATTAGGAGGATTGAATACAAGATTCTTATGTAAACAATCTATGGTGGGGTGATACGTCGCTAACTAGTTCATTCCCAGAATTACATCAAAATCTTCATGTGTCTATCTCTATCAAGTCTACACTTAATTATTTATTTGTTATGTCTACGATACGAGCTTTGTATATGACCTCCTTTAATAGTGTCATACTTCCAAGAGTAGACACAAATAGCACAGAATCAATATTTTCAAGCAATACATTCAGGATTTTTGCAAAAATATGTGAGACAAATGAATGTGAAACACCAGTATCAACTAAAACATGTTCAATGTGATTACAGATAATATATGTACCATGTATCACGTCCGAATTGGCTTCAGCATCCTGTTGGGTGAGGGTGTAAGCTCTGCCCTAGATGGGAGGTTTGACCTGATTATGATTTCGTGGGAACTCTCTAGTGTAGTGTTGGATACTCCCACATATGCAACATATATTATTGAGACGATAACAGGGTCGGTCCCCATGATCCTTGCCACAGTGCTGACAAGTCCTACCGCGTCCTGTTGTAGGAGTTTGAGGAAGAGCTTGAGTTACAAACCTAGGCCTCTTGTTTTGTTGAACCGATGCAGTGGGTGCTGGTCTGCAATGTGGAACCGGAGATTTAGAATTTTTCATTGCT